ATGAAAAGACACATGCAAATGGCCAGTAAACACACTAAAAGATGCTCAGTATCGTTTGTCATCAGGAAAGTGCAAATGAAATCAATAATGAGATAGCCATTACAACTACTCGGATGGCTATAATAAAAGATAGGTAATATCAAATTTTAGTGAGGATATGGAAAAATTAGAAGTCTTGTATACTACTGATGGAAATGTAAAATGATGTAGCCACTCTGTAAAACGTTTTGGCAGTTCCTCAGAAAGTTAAATATAGAATTATATTTGACCCACCAATTCTGCTCCTAGGTATATACTTAGAAGAACAAACTAAACAAAATGTGTAGACAGATATTCTTCACAACATCTTTCTAATAGCCAACAAGTAGAGACAACCCAAATGTTCCATCAACTGATGAATGGATGAACAAAATGTGGTATATGTATACATGGAATGTTATTTGTCCATAAAAGAAATGAAATACTGGTACATGCCACAATATGAATGAACCTTGAAAGCATTAAGAGATATATATATATATATTTGTGTGTGTGTGTATATATATACAAGTGTATATGTATATATACATATGTGCTGCATATATGTATGTATATACTAATACATATGCTACACACATATGCTACATGTATATGATACATACACACACACACACACACACACACACACACACATATATTTTTTGAGACGGAGTCTCACTCTGTCGCCCAGGCAGGAGTGCAGTGGTGCCATCTTGGCTCACTGCAACCTTCACCTCCCAGGTTCAAGCGATTCTCTTGCCTTAACCTCCCTAGTAGCTGGGACTACAGTCACTTGCCACCATGCCTGGCTCTTTTTATATTTTTAGTAGAGATGAGGTTTCACTGTGTTGGCCAGATTTTTTTTTAAGAGCCGGGTTTCGCTGTGTTGCATGTGTTGGAATGCAGTGGTGCTATCACAGTTCACTGTAGCCTCAAACTCCTGGGCTCAGGTACCTTCCTGCTTCAGCGTCTCAAGACTCTGGAACTACAGCACATGCCACCATGCCTGGCCTTTTCTTTTTTTAAGTTTGTTTTTAGACTTGGGGTCTTGCCGAATTACCCAGGGTGGTCTTGAACTCCTGGCCTTAAGTGATCCTCCCTGCTCAGCCTCCCGAGTGTCTGGGATTACAGGTGCATGCCGCCATGCCTGGTTCTCATTATGATATATCAAAAAAGTACAGTTTCCATATTTGTAATATGGAGTCATATAATATTCTGTATTACAAAATGGAATATTGTATGATTCCATTTATGTGAATTGTCCAGAATAAGCAAATCTGTGGAAACAGAACTTAGATTAGTGTTTGCCTAGGGCTAGAGGGTCAGGTATGGAGCTAAGAGACAGGGAGAGCGATAGAGAGTATGGGTGGCTTTTTGTATGATCAAAATGTTCTAAAATTGATTGTGGTAATGTTTATGTAGCTTCATGCATTATACTAAAAGCATTTAATTGTATACTTTAAATCAATGAATTGTTTAGTAGGTGAATTGTATTTCAATAAAACTGTTACAAACATACAAAAAAGAATATTCTAAAGTGCTTTTATTCATAATAGCTTCCAAGTGTTCATCAGTGGAAGAATGGATGACCAAATTGTGATATACTCCTACCATGTAACATTACTCAGCCATGAAAAGAAACAAACCACTGATAGAATGAATGAGTCACAAAAAATCCTGAGCAAAAAGCTACATATGAAAGAATATATGCTGTGTTATTTCTTTGGTTTAAGAACAGACAAAATGGCTGGGCCCAGTGGCTCACGCCTGTAATCCCAGCACTTTGGGAGGCCGAGGTGGGTGGATCACCTGAGGTCAGGAGTTCAAGACCAGCCTGACCAACATGGAGATACCCTGACTCTACTAAAAATACAAAAAATTAGCCAGGCTTGGTGACACATGCCTGTAATCCCAGCTACTTGGGAGGGTGAGGCAGGAGAATCACTTGAACCCAGGAGGTGGAGATTGTGGTGAGCCGAGATCGCACCGTTGCACTCCAGCCTGGGCAACAAGAGCGAAACTCCGTCTCAAAAAAAAAAAAAAAAGTAATGTGATAAATCAGAACTTGATTACTTCTGGTGGGATCAGGGGCAAGGGTAGTACTGATAGGAACGGAGATAAAATAACTTGGGGATTGTGATAGAAATGTTCTCTATCTTGATTCAGGATTTTGTGGACGTAAACGTTTGTTTAAATTCATCAAACTGAGTACTTAAGAAAAGTGTATTTTATGTTTGTGAAATAGAGCTTTAAAAAAAATGGCCTTAAGGCTTTGAGTTGACATTACAGAAACTTTTATAGGGCCAAAGATATTGTAAGGTCTGAATGATACTTTGGAGCTGGGATTGAGCCTCTGTTACATAGTCCGAGTCCTTCAAACCTTCAAAGTTATGGAACTTTTCTGTCACTAAAAAAATTGTTGAAAAATGCTGGTCCTGCGTAAGAAAAAACGAGGAACCTTAGCAATCTGTGTTAGGCCTTAGATAAGGTTATAAAGAAGTTAGCTTTAAAAAAAATCAGTGCCCTACATCTGCACCATATGTGAGTATGGGTTCTGAATTTATACTTTGTGTTTGGTGCATAATGTCAAACTAAGAAATTATCATCAAAACCAGTCCAGCAACTAGCATAAGCAAATACTAAATAAATCGCTTTTAAGAGTTGTTGAGTAGGCTGGGAGCGGTGGCTCATCCCAGCACTTTGGGAGGTTGAGGCAGGCAGGTCACGAGGCCAGGAGATTGAGACCATCCTGGTCAACATGATAAAACCCTGTCTCCACTAAAAATACAAAAATTAGCTGGGCATGATGGCACACCCCTGTAGTCCCAGCTACTCCGGAAGCTGGGTCAGGAGAATCGCTTGAACCTGGGACATGGAGGTTGCAGTGAGCCGAGAGTATACCACTGCGTTCCAGCTTGGTGACAGAGTGAGACTCCGTCTCAAAAAAAAAAAAAAAAAAGTTGATGAGACTCCTTAGAAAATAATCCCCACTGAAAATATAAACCATCCTAGGAAACCAAACTACCTTGGCAGGGGTTTGGTACATAAAACAAGGAATATCACTTTAAGATTTAGAAATTATATCATAAAACAAACAAGGAATATCACTTTAAGATTTAGAAATTATATCACAGTCTGGAAAACAATGTTCAAAATTATAAAAAAGTATAGAAAGCAGAATGAAAGAACAGGAGAGAGGTTAAAGAAGCTAATCTAGGCGTGGTGGTGAGACAAAGCAGTCACAGATACAAAAATACCCATATTTAAATGGCACTGCCACCATTTATTAGATGAATTAGAAAATAGAGTTTGGTGGTTGTAGTAATGTTGACTGATTTTTTTAAAACTCTACATAATAATTTAGTGTATTTTAATATCTCGAGCTCTTATACAGAATACTTTAACACATAATATTCTTGAATTATTTTTGACTAGCAGATTATCAGATTAGCTGTTGAAAGACGTGATTGTTTAGTGGTAACTTCTTCAATTTACAATTTGAATGGAGTCTGACTAGAACTCACTGAGTGTTTTTTCCTCAACTGGTCCCCTTCAGCTGACTGCCAAACCAAGTGCAGTGGAGTCTGAGGCCTAAGCTTTCTTTGTCCAAGCAATCCATCAAGGGGGTTTACTGGTAATAATGAGAATAGAGTATTTTTATCGAGGTATCTTTTGAGTAAGAAATGAAGTTAAGCTCGGTTATACTTCTCTTTTTAAAACATTCAACCTTTGTACCTATTGACTTTTTGTATTGTACAAATAATACAGTATTTTACTAGTTTAGTTACTTTTTATTATGAAAAATATTTCAAATTCACTTTATTTTTTAAAAGCCTGTTTCTGTGTATAGTATTATATGATTTATGGTATTAGATTCCCTCTGCATTGCTATATATGGCTGCCTATTCTCTGCATATATAAATTCAATTTAGAGAATTAGAACGAGACTAAAATATGCCCTACAAACCTCTTTGAATCAGTATGAGACTGTTTAACTTTTAAACTTATTCTACTATGAGATTTTTCCAAAGATTGTTCTCTTGTATCTCATTCCTAATTATACAGTAAAATGCAGTAATAGAACTTCAGTTCATTTTAATGTGTTACTTAATTTGCCTCTATGTTATTATGCACTTTGTCTTCTAAAAGCAAACTTACTTAAATTTGAACATTATACCCTAACTCCAGAGGTGATCTCTGAATAAATGATACACAACCACCACTCTAAAGCCTGGAAACTCTTTATTGCTAATATTTATGGCACTCATCTCCCATTCACTTTATTGCTTAAGTACTCACTTTAAATAACACTGATCTGGGGCTTTGGTCTTTACTTGAATGTGCTCTCTTCTTTTTTTCACTGGTAGCTGATTTTTATCCTACTTTCCTAAGAATTGATAACGAGGTACAGATTCTTCAGCTTTGTTTTCAAATTTGTAATTACAGAAGTGCTGCTGGGCTTTCCTGCTCTATGGTGCTTTTCTTCATATTTTCATTATTGACACACTTGTTGGAATTCCTACAAGTGTGGTTAATTGCAGGATTTGTGAAAGAATTGTTTAACTTTCAGTAAATTATTTTGGGTATATTTCTCTTTGGGGTTCCATCAGTGTTGCCAACTATATGTTAATTATGTTTGAGACCTGATAAAAATGAGTCTATTTTTAAAAAATAAATCTTACAAATTGCTTTTGAATTTTTGCTTGTATTGAGAAATTTTTAATATGGTGTTAACTAACAATTTTTTGAGTACTGAAAAAGACACTTTGAATATCTGAAAAGGCCTTTATTTTTTCCTATTATTTTTAAGCATTTTCCTCAAAATAATTGGACATTCACATATAACCTCTATTATTTGATACATTTTTATACACCCTTAAATAGTTGGCAGCATTGTCCTTGATTCTCTGTTGGTTTGGGCTTATATAATGTCTTTTTCTTTTCTCCATTTTTTTTTTTTTTTTTTTTTTTTGCTTCCTAAGGACATGATGATACAGCGCCATGTGCAATTTTGAAAAGTATGGATAGTTTTAGCTTTCTCCAACACCCAGTCCACCAGAGGAGCTTAGAGATTCTGCAGAGATGCAAGGAAGAGAAGTACAGTAAGGCTACAAATCCTGATAAGCTGTTATCACATATCCATTTGGAAATGGAAACCAGGAGCATCCTACACCAGGGTGGGATATAGATTCCACGGGCAACATGGCCTCCATAAACCTCTGAGCAGTCTTTGAATATTTCTTTTGAGTCTTTAGTAGTTTCTTTTGAAAATACTGATAAACTTTTTTTAACTGTGGTGACTTTTCTGTTTGCCTGTGATCATTGGATTGTTAATTATACTTGGTTACAGTCACTGGATTGGTTTCTATTTGTCTTTCAAGTAGCCAAGTGATGGATAGGAATCAACAATGTTTTGTTTCCTGCTCATTAAAAAAAAAAAAAAAAAAAAAATTGAGGTCTAATTGAAGTAAAAAACTGAATGCAAAGAGAACAGTTTGGTAAGTTTTGACGTATGTAGGCACCCATGAAATTATCTCCAGAATCAAGATAATGAATATGTTCAGCATTCCCAAAAAGTTTTCTCGTACCCCTTTCTAAATCTGGCTGATTTTTGTGTTTGCTTATGCTTGAATTTCAACATTAGCAAATGTTATTTTTGTGTATCATTGGTAAATCCACTTAGTTTGATTGCAGTGCTTCAACCAGCCTTTCCTATGTCTGGTTTAGAGCAAAGCCACCGCATTAATGTTTTGACTTGAGGAAGAATAACAGAATCATGGTGCATGTTCTTTTGTTTGCTTTTTTATAAAATTGGTATAAAAAGATGCCCTTGGTCTCCATTTCCTTTCTTGCTCTTTACTTGTTGTACTCATTCTGCATGAAAATTGATTCTTTTGCCAGTTGTAAGATTAGTTACTATTATTGAGGCACTGCTATTGTGAGAATAAGTGGATCCTTCAAAATACTCAAAGACAACTCAACAATTTGCGTATAATGGACCTACATAATCTGTTCTGAGCTTTTAATAAATTACCACTGATTTAGTTTGCTAATTTCACAGTTTTCTGGTTGAAATTCCATGAAATTTTACTATCCAGTTGTCAGTGAGAGGAGAATATAAGTAGAATTCCTAAGAGCAAATGTTGTGGATTCTTTTTCAGTTCCTGTTACTGTCTTGGTTAAAAAAAAAGGGTGTGTAATGTATTGTGAAAAACAGTATTTAAAGTATTTTCTCATTTTAAGAAGAACAAAGGTAAGTGTTTCATTTTAAAAAGACATCCTTAATATTATTCTTAATTGTTGCTGGTGTTTCTGAGAGGAATGTAACAAATCCTCATTCCAGTTATTCATCTTCCTATTCTGTCTTTTAATCCATGGGACATTATTTAAAATAGTCTATAAATCATTTTGGGGAGCTTAAATTAATTTCTCTTAATTCTTTAAATAGTTGCAAATGGTTTATTTGCTTTGTTTTTTCATGACTCAGCCTAACAACCCCAGACCTGATTGTATGCCAGCTACATACGGATCTTGACTAGGAAGGCACCAGTTTCAGCATAGGCTACATGAAGAAATTGTGCGTCTATGTGTGTTTACTTGGAAATTTCTACTTTTGTGAACGTTGGAGCTCTTCCATTATTTTATGTAATTTATTCCATTTTCCACTATAGTATTAGCAATATACTAATTATAAAAAGGTATCACATTATAAATTTTATTGTATGTAAAATTGTAAATTCAAGTTTTGGAAATTGTTCTTAAGAAAACGGGACTACCAGCTTTAGGTAGTGGTGAATTGGTGAGGTGAATGAATCCTCCCACAAGTAACAGCGATAAAACCTGGAAAAAAAATTTTAAAATAACCGAGTATTTGAAAGTACGGGAAAAAGACCAAAAGTAGGCAGAAAGTAGGGAAAAGTTTATTTTTTAAAGGTAGTAAAGCAGTGGGTAAGAATTGTGAATTTGTAGCTTTTTATACAAGGGGTTTTCCTAACTTGCATGGTTTCAGAGATAGAAAACAACCACCACCACCATACTGGCTTATTATGTTGGAAGACTTTCAGAGCAGCTTGGAGTTTAGGAGGAAAATCCTGGAACTGAGAGAGCTGCTAAAGGGCTAAAACACAAATTAAAGTATGAACTCTGCACAAATCCCTGGCTGACTGCTGTGAGTATGCAGGGAAGACCCCAGGAACCGTATTAAAAAAAAAAAAGTGGAAACCAAATAAAAGATAATCCTTGAAAGACATAACTAGAATAGCTGAGATTTGCAACTTTGCTGCTTTTTAGAAAAACTGAGGAAATTTTCTGCCTGTGCTTAGCTTGTGTGGGAAAAACAAGTCTTTCTGCCTTAATTGGAGTCCCATAGGAAATGAGAGATAAAGGAGTCGGAAAATTATTTGAAGACAGTGGCAGAAAACATCCCTTATTTGGTTAAAAAAAAAAACCCAACATAGTGAAACCCTGTCTCTACTGAAAATACAAAATTTAGCCAGGCGTGGTAGTGCACGCCTGTAATTCCAGCCTCCTCGTGTGGCTGAGGCACAAGAATTTCTTGAACCTGGGAGGCAGAGGTTGCAGTGAGCTGAGATCACACCCCTGCACTCCAGCCTAGGCAACAGAGCGAGACTCTGTCTCAAAACAAACAAATACTAGCTTACAGATCCAGGAAGATCAGTGACCACAAAGCCGGGTAAATATGAAGGAAAACTACACCTAGGCACATTATAGATTAAAATGTTAAAGGTAAAGAGAAAATCTTGAAAGCAGCCTGGAAAATATGTACATATTAAATACAGGGGAATAATGAGATGATTAACACCTGACTTCTCAGTAAAAATAATGGAGGCCAAAAGGTGTCAAAAAATCATGTTTAATGTGTCATGTCCCCCACCTCCCCCAAAAAAATCTGAGCCAGAATTTCTATATTTGCAGTCTGGGTCCAGACAAGTTAACTGATAGAAGAAAAATTAACAATCTTCAGAAGAACCTAACAGTATCCACTGTTGCTGTGATGTGTTATCCACAATGTCCTGTTATCATGTAGCAAAAGTATCCTTCAAAAATGAAGGTGAAATACATTTTCAGACTAATGGAGTCTGAGAATTTGTCACCATATGCATTCTATGGGAAATGATAATAGAAATTCTTCATGCTCAAGGGAAATCATCCCAGGATCGTAACTTGGGTCTATAGTAGGGGTTGGCAAAATTTTTCTGCGAAGAGCAGACAGTGAATATTTTAGGCTTTGTAGGCCAGTATGGTTTCTGTTGCAGCTACTCAACTCTTCTGTGAAGGGAGCCATAGACAATACATAAATAAATGAGTATAGCTATCTTCCAATAAAGCCTTATTACGGACATTGATACTTAAATTTCAAACAATTTTCACATGGTACAAAAATGTTCTTTTTCTCTTCAGTTAAAAACTATATAAGCCATTCATAGGTCATACAAAAACAGGCAGTGGGTTTGGTTTAGGCCATGGACTCTAGTTTGCTGATACATGCATGAATTACTGGCGGGAATAAAGAAGGCACAACTAATAAATATGTATAAAAATATAAATGACCACACATATTTTCTTGCCTTCTCTTAATTAAAAAAAGACTGTTTAAAGTAAAAAATCTGACATTATTTTGACGGTTTAAAATATGTCCACAAATTGATACTCCCCCCTTCATAAGGCATGTGCTGTACTTAGTGACTTGCATCCAAGAAATGGAATGTGGCAAAAGGGACAGTGTGTGACCTTCAATATTAAGACATAAAGATAATGTGGCCTTTCCTCCTTCTCTTTGTTTCTGGTGCTCCCGCCTTCTCTCCAAAGTGGCTCTTCTCTGAAATTTCTCAGGGAGGAAATTAGAGGAGTAAGGAGAAATTGAAGTTTTGGGGAGCATGAGCTGCACCCCACTTCCAGAAATGACAGGAGCCCTAGAAAGAAGGAATCAGATGGCAGAAGGAGAACGGGTAGAAAAGAAGAATCTGACTTTAATTTGCACCCATTCTTTTGGCCTTCAGTCCCGTTTGGGATGATTGAGAATATAATGTGCATCAGCAAGATGAAGGATCAGCAATTGCCAGGGAAGGGCTGAGGGCTTACTCCACCTCATTACTCTCACCTTGCTGACAGTGCCTATTTTTAATGTCCCTAACCTCAAGTATCAGTATGGTCATTCAGATGATTGAAAATTTAGTGGATTGTCTGATCAAAATGGAATTAAATGCAAATCAATAACAGATATATCTGAGAAACCTTCAAATATTTGAAAAATAAAATGTATATGTAACTATTGAGTTGAAAAAATTTCATAAGGGTAACTTGGAAGTTTTTTGATCTGAAAGATGATGGAAGCAACATATTACAACTTATGGACTACAAATGAAGAAGTACTTAGGAGAAAACTTACAGCTTTAAATTCTTAAATTAGAAAAGTAAGGTAAAATAATCAGTGATTTAGGCTTTCACTTTAAGCTAGGAAGAAAAGAGCATATTAGACTCCAAATAAATAGAAGGAAGTAAAAAAACTTTTTTTTTTTTTTTTTTCTGAGACAGAGTCTGGCTCGGTTGCTCAGGCTGGAGTGCAGTGGCACCACCTTGACTCACTACAACCTCTGCGTCCCAGGTTCAAGTGATTCTCATGCCTCAGCCTCCCAAGCACCTTGGGCTACAGGTGCATGCCACTGTTTTGCTTTGTTTTGTTTCGTATTTTAGAGATAGGAGCTCGTTTTGTCATGCAGGCTGGAGTGCAATGGCACAATCATGGCTTGTTGCAGCCTTGACCTCCTCGGCTCAAGTGATCTTCCCACCCCGGTCTCTCAAGTAGCTGGATCTACAGGTGCATGCCACCATGCCCTGCTAATTTTTAAATTTTTATTTGTGGAAATGGAGTCTCACTGTGTTGTCCAGGTTGGTCTCAAACTCCTGGCTTCAAGCAATCCTCCTGCCTTGGCCTCCCAAAGTACTAGGATTACAGATGTGAGCCACTACATCTGGCCTAAAGCTGGTTTTTTGAAAAGAACAATGAAGCTGATAAATTTCTAGCCCAGCATGGTGCAGTAGAACTTTCTGCGATGTGGAAATGTTCTCCAGCTACACTGTC